TGTCCCTTAGCTTTTTTGCTCAAAGCTAGCACACTATCCCTTGAGCCACAGTTCTACTTCCAGCTTTTTGGTTGTTAACTGAAGAGACTCATGAACTTTCTTGCTTAGGCTGGTTCTGAACCACAATCCTAATTATCTTAGCCTCCTTAACAGCTAGGATTATAGAAGTGAGCCACTGGTGAGGCTGCAAAGTATCTCCATTTCCAACAAGGACTCTGGGTGATTCTTGGAACCCACTCTGAAAACAATGGGTCTATACTCTGAGCTCAAGATTAGGTCTCACTCCCCCACCTTGGGTCAGAGACCAGTTGGCAGCTCTGCAGAAAGTAGAAAACAGAGCCAAGTGTCCAGGGCATTGATACTAGTTCTGTACCAGAGTCTTCAGTCTCCAGGGCTTGTAGACTAGCGTGGTCTGAGGCATGTGGTCATCCATGTCTTTCAATGTGTTAGTGTGTATATGTGTAGGACAGCCACCATCTGGGCAGAGTTCTACTGAAAGATATATAGAGTATTTCAAAGCTCCTACTTCAAAACTTCAGATATTTCATACAAACTAATCATTGTCAGGTAATTATAAATAGATTAGTAATTATTGAAAAAAATTAAGTTTCAAAGTATTTTACTGTATACCTGAAGGCCTTAGAGATGAGGGAAATTTGATGTGAGACTACTAGCCCAGATAATGATTTCTTCACTCAAGTGAGGCTTGGACTCCACAAGCTTTCACATAAGTATAACTGGATAAATGAGGGGGTTGGAGATTTTTCTACTTGCTATCCTCCAATATGAACAAGCACCTATTTCCTTCCTTCTGCAGTTTCTATTAGTCACAAAGAAGTTAAAAAGTAAGTATCTTAATGTGATTGCTTTCAGAACTCCTCTTTTCAAATATACTGCTAGCCATCCATTTCTGTTTGCGGCTTTATAAAGCTATACTGCTTATTCAAGTAGCTTATACTTCAGCCTGTAGCATGGCATTTTGGAATATGCCCTGTTCTCCACTGATGGGAAATAAGGAAGGCCTGCATCCACATGGAGAAGTGAATACTGTTCCCTGGCCACTGTGGGAACCACCATGGGATTCTAGTAATGGTCTTATGCGTCTCAGATAAGTCTATCCAAGAATGTTTTGAACAGCTAAGAGCAGAAACAAAATTCTACACATTTTAATCACTGATTATCCGGAATGGTAGTGTTTTTTGCTTATGTATTTTTCAGAGTTTAATATTTGGTCTTGTTTGTAGCTTGTTAATCATGCTGAGAATGAAATATCCCAGCATCAATTTATTGCCTGCTGAAAAAAAATGGTATAAATGTAGAACTAAATAAGGACCTGGCTGAGACTTCTTTGGTGAGATAGGCAAGTATACAGGGTTGCCTGCAGTCTATTCCTCTGGGCATAAACACCTGAGGAAAACCCTCTCTCCCTACAGCAGTGTATCTCAAAGACAGCAGTGTATCTCAAAGAGTGGTTGTAAGGCTGCTGCACCTGCTCATCTCCAGTTCCCTGGGGTAAGTCTCTGGGTGTGGACAGGCAGTGGAGACTCCCCTGGGGAAGGGCAGCAGTTCTGAGACAGGATTCTGGCAAGAATCTGTTCTAAGAACAGGCCTTTAGGTGATGCTTCTATACAACAAAGCTTGAGATCCAGTGCAGTGCAGCTGATGGCTAACCATGCAACTGACCTTCAAGCTAAAGGTCAAGTTGGAAGGGAATGCCCTGAATCAGATTCAAAAAACAAAACAAAACAGACCAACCAAAACCCCCCAACCAACCCACAACTGAAAAAGCAGCTCTTGCTTCCTGAAACACACACATCTCAACAGCACAAACCTCAGCCAAGCAAACGGCTCTCAGCCACCACCTCCTCTCTTAGCACCCCCACGCTGAAGACAGGAACCTCCCTTTATAGCATACTGGTTCCAAGTCGCCAGGTGGGGATAGTTGTGGAACTTCTGATACAACCCCATTTAAAATGCCAAAGACATTAAGTGCCCAGCCCTTTCAGGGTGAGATGTCCTCTGCAGCTAATATGCCAGGCTCAATACAAGGACCACTGGAGGGAAAGGGACTCTGCAGGACAATCTGACAAGTCCTTCTAGAAGCTGACCTGCATGCAGAATATGAGTACATCTCTGTCCCAGATAGCTCAACTGCACAAGGTGTTCTGAAAATGTCTTCCTTCTTGAATGAGGACCTTTCTAATAGACAATCAGAGTTTTTCACTCCAGTAAGAAATAAAACAACCAGGAAAACCAACCTGATAAATGTGGCCTACAGTTGGCTGTCCTACAGAGTAAGGGCAAAAGGAAACTAGCTAAAGACTGTACTCAAAGGTTCCTATGAGCTCCAGGGCTCAGATGGGGATATGTGAGTGAGGAGGGTGCATGATGATCAGTTTAGAAATGAAGCTCATTCTAGGTAGACTGTACCCTTGGTCTGAAAGCACAGGCAGTCTGGCCATGAGCTGAAGGCCCTAGGAAACATAGAGAGGAAGAGGTCATTCTACCCAGAATTTTAGGTAACAGCCACTTCAGGCCTAAAGAAAGGGGCTGCTATCACACTCAAAGTGAGGGTCCCTGGAGGGACACAAGAGTGCAAGGGCCTGATCTGACTGTGCCTGTCCTGACAAGAAAGAGGACCCAGATGTCAGCAATCCCTCCCCCACCACCTCCAGAGTCCCCACAGAAGGGTAAGACCTGCCCCAGTCCTCACAGCGAACGTCCACTGCCACCCCCAGACACCCTGAGCAAGGTCCCTGAAAGCAAAGTACAGCTGCAAAGTCTACAGCAGGAGGGGGCCGCTGGGCCCGAGAAGGTGTGTATCAAAGGGTTTCAGAATCCCTGAGGCCACTTCCTTGATTCATCAAGTTTTGCTCTAAGGATGCATTGCCTGTTAAGTGTACTGTTTTTATTTTCTTTTTTTAAAACCACAGTGTATATTAATACATATTTGTTCATCCTTAAGCATAATTAAAAAAAATCTTTTTAGAAGTCACTATGCTGAATTTTCAGCAAACGTCAATGAAACTGGTTTCTGTTCATGACCAGTAGCTCAGGTTAACTAAACAATAAAACCCTGAGCGGCTCCTGACTTGGCAGCAGTTCACCATCAACTCAGGCCAAGATCTGGAAGAAATAGCCTTTGGCTGCTGAATTTGCAGGCCTAAATATAAAGTGACAGCAGCAGCCTCCTGTTTGCTGTGAGGAGAGAGGGAGCCCGGGCCTGGGCCACCCCTGGGTGTGCTGGTGACCCACGGTGGACTGCACAGAGCTGGCTTTCAAGGAAGGTCTGAGCAATCTCCAGAAAGAACACACACTGTTGTGCCCATACCTGACCCTCCAGTTGGGCTAGGCCACTACCCACCCAGTCTTCGCTGTCGCCCTGCCTTCCTGGGTGTCTCCAGCATTAGGGGCACATCTTCCTGCCATGCCCGGCAGGAACAGGAAGTAGACTGAAGGTTTAGGTGGGGAGGAGGAAGAATAGAAACCAGCAGGAATAGATCTACCCTCACCAGCACACAGAGCCCCACGGGTAGTCTCTAAGGAGGGGAGCTGCATGCATTTCTGAATTCATCCAGAAAGCCATCTCTAGAGAAGGATGGACTTTGGAGGCTAGATAAGAGCTACTGCACCTCAGGAAACCCCTGCTAAAGGATTGGGGAAGGGTGAGGATCAGCAAGGTCAAAGCCTTGAGATCTGCTCTCAGGATGGGAACAGAGACGGGGAGAAGGCTGAGACAGGCATCTGAGGGGCAGGGTGAGGAGCAGAGCCACAGGAACAAGAAGACTTACAACAGTGCACTGGGCTGGAACCAGCAACAGGAGCAAGCCAGGAAAGAAGCGAGGCCAAGCCCATGGGAGCCAGGCGGGCTGCCTCAGAATGGGTAAGAGGCCAGCTGTGTCGACACAACTCTAGCCCATTGTCCAGCCTTTCCTCCAGGGCCTTGAAGGAGGCGTGAGAAAGCACATCCACCATTGCATGGGTGATAGGGGGGTCTCAGGAGACAATGACTGGTGGGACTCTGTTGCACTGCCAGATGTCAACTTCTTGAGATGTAGGTCAGCCCTTCCTTCTCATGGGAGTTTGCATTTCATTTCTTGAAACTTCCATCTCTGTGGGACTGTTCAGTATCACCTCTAGCACAGCCTGTCACCATTTCTCAACCCTGACCCCTGCTTTCCATCTCCACAACTCTTCGCTAGGCGCCTCCCATGGGCTCCCACTGGATGTTGCAGCAGGCTGTGTCACAGCATTTGATGGTTTCAACAAGGCCACAAGACTGGTGTGGGAGCCTCCTGCCCCAAGCAGCCAGTCCCACCTAGCCTTTTCATTATAGTAACGAAAGAGATAATAGAATTCTTCCATCATTCATCTGGACTTCAAGTCTAGTTCCCTCACCACAGGAAGGAGGCGAGGGCTCTTAGACTACAGTCTCTGCCTTCCTCCATCCACAAGGATAGAAAAGCGGTCTTCTTAGAATTCACTTTCGACCTCTTACCCTCTGCTGTCACATTTCCAGGGCCTGTTCCAGGTTTAGTCTGGCATTGAAGACATTCCCAAACCTGGTCCCAGCCTATCTTTTCGACTACATTCTCCTACTCACAAATCCTGTCTGGCCACGGAGGTCATCTGTGACATCTTGCTTATTACTAACAGCACAACCCCTTCGCTGTCAGCTGTCTCCATCCTTTCCATCCACAAGCACCTGACTCTTCCATCCTGCTCTGCTCTTCACCCAGCTCCCGGAGATCCTTCTGAACTCTGAACATCTACATCAAGACTCACACTTGGCTCCATTCTTAGATGGCTTCTAATTCTCATGTTTATGGGCATGGTCCCAATTTTGCCACTACATTGAGGTCATTTGAGGGTAGCAGATATTTATACCTGCCCCCAATCCCCTGCGATCAACTGCACACTGCCTATGAGTGCCAATGGGCAGACTGCATCCCATGGTTGCATGGTCGACGTCCCATGGTCGGCTCAGTGCATAGTCTTACCTGTAGTACCGGGACTGCAAGTAGGTAGAGCACACAGCCTTGGACACATGACTAGCGGAACCAAAGTCGATGACCTTCACTCTATACGGCTGTCGGGAGGGATCCACCAGCATAATGTTTTCTGGTTTGAGGTCAGCATGGATAAGACCCAGGCTCTTGAGCTTCATCAGGGCGGTGGCTACCTGTTGGAGGACTGGGCGAATATATTTGAGGGGCAAGGGGCTAAACTTGTTCTGCTTCAGAAAGTCATAGAGGTTCTGCTCCAGCATCTCAAAGACCAAGCACGTGTGATTCTTGTGCTGGAAGCACTCATAGGCCCGCACAAAGTTGTAGTCGTCAGCGCTCTCTGTGCTCAGCCGGGCCAGGATGCTTACTTCAATCTGTCCTTGCCGGGCATACGATGGGTGGTTCTTCAGGATCTTAATGGCCACAATTTCATTGGTGCCCCGTTTCCAGCACTTGACCACTTGTCCAAATGTCCCTCGGCCCAAGAACTCTAAAACCTCGTAGGTGTTGGTCATGGAGCATAGCACTTCATGCTGCACCAGCTGATAATCACCTTCACTGTTGGAGCCACTGTTTTTGGAGGTGGCAGTGGATGTGGTGGCAGTGGCTACAGTGGCCCCGCTGGCATTGTTCTGAATCATGGGTGGGTGCTCCTCGATGATCTGCACGCTGCTTGTGTTCTCGATCTCCTCACTCTTACGCTTGAGTCCACATTTTTGGTAGGTATCAAGAAGGCTCACAGTGCTTCGACGCATTAGGTTATGTGGTCCGCCGAGGACTTGCCCGGTGACAGAAGTGCTACTGGCTGATGTTACCACTATGTGCCCGGTGCTTCCTGGGAAGATGATGGTCTGCTCGTAAGGTAGGCTTGGGTTTGGGATCGGCAAGGAGGTGCTGACGGTTGTGGAGGCTGGCTGAGAAGGTGGTACGTTCTTGCTCTGGCTATACACTTTGCTGTGGGAGCCGTACCCAGTCATGTCCCAGTTGGAACTCGGCTCGACTTTCAATTTCTTCACACTACAGAAGGCACTTGATTGAAGGGTGTGAGGGGAGAAAACTTGCACATGTGAGGCCATACCTGGAGGAAAAGGAAGAGGAAAACATACCTTTGAGTCACCCTTGCGTGAGAAAAACTCAACAAATTCACTTAGTGGCCCACTCACTCATTTTGATCAGTGTCTTGAGACAAATACATTACTGCCCTCCCACTTTCAAACAAGCTTGAAAAAGAGCATTGCTGGCACCCAGAAGCACACTCTATTCTTTTTGTGGGACTGAGTGGTTCCACACTCCACACCACTAGGAAGATAGTAGATTTATAAAGCAGAACCAGGGATAATAGAATAGTGACACAGTCCTTCCTTCCTTCCTTCCCTCCCTCCTTCCCCTTCCTTAACTTTCTCTTTCCCTTTCTCCCTTCCTCCCTTCCTTTCTTCCTTCTTCCTTCCCTCCCTGCTTCCTCCCTTCCTTCTTGGAGCTTCAACTTAAAAGATTTGCTCTCTTAACTTGGCATTTTTGCTCAAGGCTGGTACTCTACCACTTGAGCCACAACCCCACATCTGCTTTTTTTTGCTGGTTAATTGGAGCTAAGAATCTCATGGGCCTGGAGGGGATGTGGACAGAAGGGAACCCTACTGCATTGTTGGTGGGAGTGTAAACTTGTTCAACCACTTTGGAAAGCAGTATGGAGGTCTCTCAAAAGACTCCACATAGAGCTCCCCTATTACCCAGCAATCCCACTTTTGGGCATTTACCCAAATGATCACAAACAAGACCATTCTAAAACTACCAGCACAACTATGTTTATTGCAGCATTATTTACCATAGCTAAGATATGGAACCAACCCAGATGCCCCTCAGTAGATGAATGGATCAAGAAAATGTGGTATATATACACAATGGAATTCTATGCCTCCATCAGAAAGAATGACATTGGAAAAAATTATATTAAGTGAAGTAAGCCAGGCCCAAAGAAACATAGGTCCCATGGTTTCCCTTATTTGCAATAACTAGTATATGTCTGAGACAAGCAAAATGGTCAGATAAGTTGGTGTTAAGCGAAATGAACCCCAAGTTAAGGTCTCAAATGTTTTTTTCTTTCTTGCTATGTGTCTAACATATTTATAAGATATTTCTTTGTTGCTTTGTATATCCCTCCTCCATGGTGTAACCCCTGTTTTCGCTGTATTTGATGTTGGTATAATTTGTGGAGGGGAAGGGAAAAACAAATTGTTAAAACAGGGATAGAGGAGGACCCATTGCAACAATGAGATGTACAAGTCATTATGTCGAAAAACAAACCTTACAACTTTGGTGAGGGGGATGGGGGAAGGATGCGAAGGGATGGGAAGGGGAAACAAAGGAGGAGGCTACAATGCTTGGTAAGAAATGTACTCATTATCTTGCCCATGTAATTGTAACCCCTCTGTACAGTATTTTCACAATAAAAAATATGTTTATTTAAAAAAGGAAATGGAAAGACTTGGAAAAAATTATATTAAGTGAAGTAAGCCAGGCCCAAAGAAACATAGGTCCCATGGTTTCCCTTATTTGCAAAATAACTAGTATATGTCTGAGACAAGCAAAAATGGTCAGATACTGTATTTGATGTTGGTATAATTTGTGGAGGGGAAGGGAAAAAACAAATCGTTTAAATAGGGATACAGGTGGACTTATTACAACAATGAGATATACAAGATGTTATGTCAAAAATGAACTTTACAACTTTGACATGGGGGGGGTAGAGGGAGATGGGAAGGGATGGGAAAGGGAAACAAAGGAGGAGGCAACCAAGCTTGATAAGAAATGTACTCATTACCTTGCCCATGTAATTGTAACCCTCTGTATGGTATTTTCACAATTAAAAAAAAAAAAAGAATCTCATGGACTTTTTTGCCCAGGCTGACTTTCAACCTCAATGTTCAGATCTCAGTCTACTTAGTAGCTAGGATGTAGCTAGGTGTGAGCCACCAGTGCCCCAGCTGCTTTTTCTTTTTTTTTTTCTTTTCCTCCCTCCTTCCCTCCCTCACTCCCTTTTCTGCATTTCTTCCTTTTCTTTCCTTCTTTCTTTCCTTTCTTTCTTTTTCTTTCTTTCTTTCTATTTATTTTTTGTGCCAGTTCTGGGGCTTCAACTCTGGGCCTGAATGCTGTCCTTGAACTTTTTTGCTCAAGGTTAGCACTCTACCATTTAAGCCATAGCTCCACTTGCAGTTTTGTGGTTAACTGGAAGTAAGAATCTCACAGACTTTCCTGCCCTGGCTGGCTTCAAGCTATGATCCTCAGGTCTCAGCCTCCTGAGTAACTAGGATTACAGGTGTGAGCTACCAGTGTCCAGCTCCATTTATTTCTTATAAAATGTATTTGTGACAAAAACAAATTCTTCCTCTATTCTCACCAGGTTATATTCTACTAGAATGGACACCTACACAAGTAGCCCAGTAACTGACATAAACCGACCACCTCCACAGTCAGTTCAGCCTTATCAACAAACCCTCACCACCGCTGGGGGAAACATGTTCCCGCCCAGGGAACATGCTCTTCCAGGTTCTAGGTGAGCTTTGTTCCCACCTGGCATCTTGGTCATCTTAACCAAGTCATGTAGGACTTAGTGGTCTGATGCCTTTCTATACATTGTCTTTTTTGGGAGCAGGCATAGCATAGTTCATGGGCTCTTCATTCTTATTTTGTTAAAGTTATATATATATTTCTTAGAAAGTATTATGACATCATACCAACATACCTGTAATTAGATAACCCAAGAAATCATTAAGACCCTGTCCTACTTATAATTATTGTGATACAGAACCAAACAAAACTTCACATAAAGCCGTTAAGAAAATGGAGTACAAGGATAAGAAAGGCTAAGTCCTTAAAGGTGAAAGGAGAAATAACGGCTACCCATTTTCTAAGCTGCCACAGATAAATAGCAACAGAGACAGAAAGGCAGTGGGGTTGGATAGGTGCTGCTGGTGCTTAGCTGTCCTGTTGTCTGGGCTCTCTGAAGCCCTAGCCCTACCTAGAATAGTTATTTAATAGTTATCTTCCTCTTCAACATGTCACCTTGTCCCTCCCTCTATCAGCAAAGGACTCACATGCTACTTTGTCCAGAAGCTTGATGTCAGCCTTTCTTTCCTCCTTCAGTCTCTCCTGCATTTCAAAATACTCATGAATCTTTCTCCATCTTCCATTCTCTGCGTTGTCTCTCCAGCCCCAGAGGAAGATAGATGTGCTCTCCTTCCCCCGTTCTCCTGACCCATATTCTCTCATTTTCTCTCAAACTCTTAAGTTTCCTCCACTGTTCTTTTTACTTGCAGTTTTAATTTCCCCCTGGTAACCACACCAAAGTCCTTAATAGATACTGAATAGGGTTAGCCACATGAATTAATGACCTCATCTTTTCCTTCTGCCTTCATGTGTACATGCAGGCAAAAACTCAGAGTTTGGAAAGAATGAGGAGTAACAGCTGGAGTTCCCCCCATCTTGACCTCTTCCTTCCTCTTACCTATAAATCAATAGTTTGTGCTCCCTTTTTGTTATGCTTACTACTACTACTTTTTTTTTTTTGGTAGTGGTGGTAGTACTGGGATTTGAACTCAGGGCCTTACTCACACTTCTCTGCATGTGGCCCCTTTTTGCTTTAGTTCTTCAGATAAGGTCTCATGTTTTTGCCCAAGTCTTGGACCATAGTCTTCCTTTCCTCACAAGCTGGGATTATAGAGATGCACTACCATGATCCATCTTGTTTTTTGATGTAAGTGTGACTTTTTGCTCAGCCTGACCTCAAACTTATGATCTCTGCCTCCTCCTCAGAAACTGGGACTACTGGTGTGAGCTACCTCGCCTCACAATGCTCGCTTCCTTATCTACTGCCCTAACATATTCACGCACTATAGGCATATGCTCTGAAATATAAATGACTTCCTAAGTGCTAGGTCCAGTGGTCTTTTTCAGCCCATCTTCTTCCTCACCTGCTGCAATATCTGATACTGGTGACCTCGACTTCCTTCTTCTTGCTCTTATCTGGTCTCACATGAATCTCCAGGACACCATATATTTGGGTGGTTCTTCCTTTAAAACGCTGGCATTGCCAGCACTTGGGACTCTTCTCTGGAAGGCATCATCCATTCTAGTGGTTTAAGCTCACATCTCTATACAGGAGACTCCCACAAGTTCCTCACAGGCCAAGCTCCCCCATTCCACTAATGTATTCTGCCCCTGCTACATCAGGTCTGATGAATTCCTTATTTTCTCCCACAAACCTAGCCATCCTACCCTCCCAATCTTACCACTCCATTTCTGCTCAATATGTATTTGGTAATGCTGGAGTTAGGATGAGGGCCTTGTCAAGTGGTAGAGCTCTAGCCTTGAACTGAAGAGTTGAGGACAGTGCCCAGGCCCAGAGTTCAAGCCCCACAACTGACAAAAAAAAAAAAAAAAGTATGAGAGCCTTGTGCTTGCTTACTGATCTACCATTTGAGCCATATTCCAGCTTCTGTTATTTTTTGGATATGGTTTGTTTTATAGGCATGCACCATCACACTTGTTGGCAGAAAATACTCTTGTCTCTTAGTTCTCAGACTGTGGCATTGTTGTTTCTTTCTTTTCCCCCTTTCCTCTTTTCAGTACTGGGGATTGAATCCAAAGCTCCGTGCTTCCTGAACAAGTGCTCTTCCACTTAAGCTAAGCCCCCAACACTTTTGTTTGTACTTTGTTTTTCAGCCAGGGCTCATTAACTTTGCCAGGCTGGCCTCAAACTCCTGGTTCTCTGAGTAAGTGGAAAATAGGCGTGCGCCATCATGCCTGGCTGGATTTACTTTTCTTTTTGTCAGTTGTGGGGCTTGAACTCTGGGCTTGGGTGCTATCCCTGAGCCACAGTGCCACTTTCAGTTTTCTGGTGGTTAACTGGAGATAAGAGTCTCACAGACTTTTCCTGCCCGGGCTGGCTTTGACATGATCCTCAGATCTCAGCCTCCTAAGTAGCTAGGATTACAGGTGTGAGCCACCGGTGCCCAGCTGGATTTACTTTTGAGGATTATTTCTACAGAGAAGAAGACAGTGTAAGTCTTAATTTCTCCTG